AGAGATTTTTGGGTAGCTCAATTTCATCCCTTCTTGCAAGGGGTTGCAAGATTTGATATTATAGTGGGATTGCAGACTTGCAACCGTTAGTTGCGTACTTCATGTTGCGTTGCCTGTGTGTTGCGCCACTTAGAACGTATGTTGCTCAAGTGTCATGTGTCATGCGCGTCATGCGACCGCTATACTGTATGTACATGTGCTGCCATGTAGTGATCTATTCGTAAATTAAAATGAGTGTAACGTCAAATTGCCCGAGATAGCGATCTATTTATGCTTATTTATCTATGGCTCGAACTAACCTCGGCAAATTGACAGTTTGCTCGTGGCAACGAAATATGGTCCGAGAGAGCGATTTATATACTCTTCTTTTATCTATGGTGGAAACGCTGATTTTAGGTCAACAGAAATGTCAGTTTTGACAGATGATTGTAAATAATGAAAAAATGCAATATGTTGCTTTCTAATTAATTTATAAATAAATGATTCTACCAATTTGCTAAAATAACGCCCCAAAATACATAATGCTAAATATGTCTAACAAAACATAAAATTAATGCTTGAAACGTATACCACATGAAATTTATATGCGATTACACGACGACTTTATTTCTGTTTCTACATATTCAGAAACTAGACATTCTTATTATTTATATATGTTTAACTACTATAATGGTGAGTCGTGAAGATTCTCTTTGTTGGTATCATGAAAATTTGTCTAGAGAGAACTCGGAAAAATTATTAAAAGAAGGTATTAAATTCATATGGTATGTGGTCTGCATTGTGCTTATGTATTTTACTCAATTTAGAATCATGTGAGGATGGTGTTTTCTTAGTGAGAGAAAGTTCATCTTCAAGTGGAGATTATGTGTTATCGGTGCTACATGACAAAGAAGTTGTTCATTATCAAATAAGGAGGCATGGGGAGGATGCTTTTTTTTCGATAGATGAAGAAGTAACTTTGCATGGACTTGAAAGTCTAATACAATATTACCAAGTATTAATTATGAATTGAGTTGCTTAAATCAGCATGCATTTACAATTTATTTAAATCATTTTTATTGCAGAAAGATGCTCACGGATTGGTGACTAAATTAACTACTTTATGTAAAGGTTCCCCTCCACCACATGATTCACGGATACATGGAAGAACAAATTTATTGCATAGGTAAAGACTTTTGTCATATTCTGGAATGAGATCTATAACTTTAGACTATATGAGCATTGAACATATTTAAATATTTCAATCGGTATCACATTTGGAAATTGGTTTACATTTAGTATCTAGTAGCGTAACTATAGGGCAGGACATGCAAAATTCCAAGGATTTGCAATCAAACAGGCTCAAGAGGTTGCTGGTCTGTTTTTTTTAGATTTTTTTTTTTAAATACACATTTGTAAAAATTTTGTGATTTTTCTGTAAAATACGGCTTATATAATAAAACAACTAGTGGGGTGCATGACATCGTGTCTTAAGGCAACTTGCTGGTACTTCCTGTACCATAATTAAAAATTTAAGGAATGAAAATAATCAATAATTGTTTTAAATGATTTCAAATAGATTATTTATTATAAGTACAAACTATAGATTTATAAGTGCTTATTATATTGGGCGATGAGCGTATTATACAAATAACTTATATTTGTATATGAAAATTTGAGTTTTCAAAACTTTAATTTTTTTTTTTTGAAAATTTTGAATTTTTTTGTTGGAAATTTTCAAAACGACGAAGTTTTTTGCACACCGTCTACGCAAGCAAAAGGTTTTTTTAAATAATCCTAGCACTGACGATCCATTCTCTCTAAAATTCCATAACCATATGCCTAATGAACATTTTTGACCTCTAATTGGCATTTTTTTAACTTTTAATTAGTTTATTGGGAGTTCATAACCGCTGGACCTGCCTTTCCAAAAATTTAAACAGTTCTTTGTTTAGTCAATACAAATAAAAATGTTTTTTGAATTATTCGAATCGGACGCTCAAAAAGTGAATTACGATTTTTTGCCCCGTATATTTGGAACGGCTAGACCTGCCTTTGCCAAAAACCTATCAGCACGTCTCCTCATCAATACAAATGGAATGTTTTTAAAATATTTCGAACTGTTATTCCATACTTTCGAAAATGTCGAGAACATTTGTTTGAATCATATACGTGAAATTTAAAATTAAAGATCTTGGTACGGAACCCAAAAAAATTTGACACAAAATATGTACACATTGTTAGTACAAATATATGTAAAACTAGCCGGCCCGACAGACTTCGTCCTGTCAAAAAAATTGTAATGTGGCGGTGTTTTGTGCCTACCTTTTTTCTATTCTTTGCAAAAAATTATCCTGAACAGAACCGTCACCCTGGTAATCATTTGGTGTGAATTAAAAATAATTAAATAAAACACTATAAGCATTTAAAAGTAAGTAATTTTAATAATGTAAATCATAATTCAAAAATCAGGTCAATTTTCATTGTAGTGCTTTGTGATAAACGATGTTTTTTGTTTGATTACCTGACGCATAGACAAAAAAATCTGATGGTTTTCCAATACGGGAACAAACAACATACAATTTTCCATGTGAGAAACATGGGTTTTCTAAATTAATACCACAAACACTTAATGATACCATAAACGCACTGGAAACGCATTGGGATGCATGGTGCGAGAACATCTTCTGCTTTATACTATCCTTTGAATATAGTTGGTCGATATTTCGCAACATTATAATTGCCGATCCAACCTTTAATTGAAGATTGTGAAGATTGAATTGAAGATTGTCAATCCTAGCAAATCCAGCGAGTTTAAAAACTGCGGTGGATCGTCTTGGTTAGTTGCCGAATCAACTGATTCGCCTGTAATTTGTCCTTGAATTTTGAAATTTAATTAATTTACATCAATGTTTGGCTGCCAATATAGCTTGATTAATAGAAAGATATTTCTATGTTTATATAAATATATTCAAAATTAGATTATCAAAAACTACACAAAATGTCATGACATAGATCATTGTTGTTTATACAAATTGCGTTGCCTACTCGATCGAAGAAAAGGGCTGTTTTTAGGGTTTTCCCGGCAATTATTCGTTTTTTTCTCGCCGTAACAATCATCTTTGGACTTCAACGAACATTTTAAAAAAAGAATTGGCCAAATTGGTCCAGGCGTTGTTGAGTTATGCGCTTACCAACACATTTTGCGATCCATTTTTATATATAAGATATCTGATAATTTGATGTGCATATGTCTAATAATCATTTTTGACCGCCAAATGTCATTTTTTTAAAACTTTTTATTAATTGAGAGTCCATAACCGCTGGACCTGATTTTCCCAAAATTTGAACAGTTGTCTGTTTAGTCATTATTAGTAAAATGTTTTTTGAATTATGCAAATCAAACGTTTCGTTCTCTCAAAAACTGAATTGCCATTTTTGGTTCTTTTTGCCTTGTAGGAAAGTGTTCTGAGCTATTTTTTATTTTATCGTACTTCTTTTATTATTAACTAGCTGACCCGGCAAACGTTGTTTTGCTAAGTAAGTTATTTTATAAACAATTTCTAGAGTATCTAAAAAATTAATACTTTTTGTGTAAGGATGTGTTGTTTGAATTGCTATATACAATGAGGTATTATAGAAACAATAAACCCCATTAGTTTGTATATATTTTATTAATACAACCAAACTGAAAGTTTTATACACTTTTTATAGAAAACATGGCATAATTCAATCCAAGTCTTTGTTGGTCTTTCGACTTATATAGTCATTACAAATTCCATTTAATCGATTATTGAATGCGTTTAAAATTTTTTGAAATTTTTTTTGGATTCTGGATTTTGTGTATAATTGTAAATAATACTATTGAGCTTATACAAATTTTTCAAATTTCTGCGAGGAGAGATACAAAATGATTTAGGTATCTCTTTTTTGACCTGCTTTTTGAAAAGTTTCTAGTAATATTCGATGAATAAAAGTAAATTTTATAAAAGGTATATATGTAGAACAGGGCAAGGCACAAAGGTCCAATTTGACTTTAAGCAAATATAAATTTTATTATGAAAATCAAACCAATTACATCACAACAAATGACACATTTCAAATGAACAATTATCTGACTACGTTCAGTAAAACTGCCAGCTACTTCATCATTGTAAAAACGTGCTTTTTTGCTGTCTTTAAAAAAAAATTTATCTAGACCTTTTTACCCTATAACGGGGTAACTTGGAACGGCCAGATGGCAAGCAGGTCTAATGTCATATTTTAATTTCAAAAGTATTTTACAAAATAATTACATTTTCAACTAATTGCTAGAAAACTACCAATGGAAGAAAATACTTTTACTAAGGATTTTCAAAGATTACCATTTATCTCTCAATACCAAAGTCATAAGAATCAAGGTTATAGCTGATTATACATATTTTTCCCTTTACATTCAAATACTGTTGTTAAACAATGCTTAGCTTTACTGGTTTTTGACACTTCGGTCATGGATCTTCATATATTACTATCCATTCTTGAATAAATTCAGGAAATTATAACTGGAAATAAGCTATTCGACAAAATGTTCCTTTGATCGATTCCAAATTTAGGTTCTAAATCTGAATAATCTAGAAAAGGTTTTATAAATACCAATGAGTACATAATTATACAAATGAGTTCTTTCAGAGCATTGTGTTTGAGAAAAATATGATTTGTCAACCATACTGAGTTATACATAGTTCGCTTCACTGTTTATACGAATGGGCAATGGCACTATCATTATATTATAATTGTTAATTATTTATTTAAAATAAATAATTTTATTATTAATTCCTTACAAATATTGAATTGTCATCCATACGTGATTAAATAGCTGTCATTTGCTTATTGTTATTCCAAGTCGAACGGGATAAAAGGTATCCTATGTCCTTCTCCTGGCTCTGAACCAATTTTTACCAACTTTACCAAAGCCAATTTTCAGTTAAATCGGTTCAGCCTTCTTGAGTTATAAGTTCTGACGATATATCTCCAGAATGCACAAACCGAATTCGACAATTTTGCATTTGCTGGAAAGGTCTGAGGCTCCGTGAGGTTTATAGCTGGGTTATAATATATGAGAACCAAAAACTAATATTCTATCACGATAGTTAACATAAGGTAGTCGATTACTTCAATTAGACCTTTTTATTATCGAATCAAAGCACCAACTTTTACCAACTTTACCAAAGCCAATTTTCAGTTAAATCGGTTCAGCCTTCTTGAGTTATAAGTTCTGACGATATAATTCCAGAATGCACAAACCGAATTCGACAATTTTGCATTCGCTGGAAAGGTCTGGGGCTCCGTGAGGTTTATAGCTGGGTTATAATATATGAGAACCAAAAACTAATATTCTATCACTATAGTTAACTTAAGGTAGTCGATTACTTCAATTAGACCTTTTTATTGTCGAATCAAAGCACATTTGCTGATAATATATATATGCCAATTAGTTGTAAACACCTAAAACATTTTATAAGATATGTATAAAGAAATTACAAATTAACAACAATTAATGTATAACTATTTACATTTTTATTACAAATTTTGAGGTTATGTCAAGAAACTATATTTCAGAATATTTTTTTTTATTAATTTGTTGATGATTATACTTATTGCTGATATATAATATAAACACCTCAAATACTCTATTTAAATACGTATAAACAAATATACATAAATACCTAATTATATAAATAATTACATTTCCATTTTCAAGAAATAAATTTCCCCATCGTCCATCTAGCATCGCTTGCTATTATTAAGAATTAATTTATTTGCCACTTTGTATTAATTTTCCGTGGCGATTAAAATATTTATATTATTCACGTAATAATTTTCAAATAATGGTCATTAAGAAATGCATATTAATATATTTGTATCAAAACAGAAACACCGAATGACAGTTGACAATCGAATGTAAATGTCATGGATGAAATCATTGATAGTATCATAGATTGAATAAACTACATGGATAGTTTATAAATAATTAATTTTGAATTAGAATGAAATAAAGGGATAAAAAGTATCCTAAGTCCTTCTCCTACTATCCTACATCCTACTACATCCCTGCCAATTTTCATCTAAATCGGTTCAGCCGTTCGTGAGTTATAAGATTTACCACATAAAGCGATCCTCTTTTATATATATAGATTTTTCATAATT